GTGGCGTCGCCCACTTATGGACCAAAAACCATATCTCAGGAAGTACTCAACCGATTTCAATGAAATTCGGTATATAATATTTTCTTAACACCCTGATAATATGTGCCAAATATGAGTGAAATCGGTTCACAACCACGCCGGAAATCTCGATTATCACTTTATCATGCGAGAGTATAAAATGTTCGGTGATACCCGAACTTAGCCCTTCCTTACTTGTATTACATATTTCAATTCTCCTCTTCATGTTCTAGCACCTTAGCATCTTAGTGAAGCACAACAAGCATATGACGCGAAGAAAGTTGATAAGGCAAAAGCTATGAATGATGCTTCACTTAAGTTGTTTTGTTTTGATCTTCAGCAATGCCTGCCAACACCAATGTTGAGGACTTCCTTGTTAACCTTAAAGAACTACTTATTTTTTAAGATACATATATTAATAAATTAAAATACGTTAAATCTTTCAAATTTATTTACTTCGCATAAATTTACAAGAAAATATTTTTAAGTTAATAATTTCATGGGATATGAGTTATTTTTGTTATTTAATCTGTGAAATAATGATATTGAACCTTAAACGTATAAGACAAACATGGCTGATATTGCTGCGAAAAATGCTAAAAATGTAGACGCATATAATATGGCACACGTTGTCTGCATCCAGGAAATCAATGGACCTATGGACAGAGAGATTACCAGTTGCGCTATAAATACCATACTACTTATGATGGCCACGTCGGTGCCCAAACCACGCGCCTGTTTTAGCGGAACCGTCTCACCATTATGCATGCGGAACTACAAATGGGCAAAGAAAATACCAATGGAATAAAATTTAGTTATGAACAGCAGTAGTGAAGTACTTACACAATCTTTGGCATGATAATTGGCCACCAAAATGTATGGTATTGTGAAAATAGTGCCGTATAGTATGCCGGCCGAAGTACTGAATACGATTACACCCCACTTGGTTGGCCAAATGGCCAATATCAACATACCGACGCCATAATACACAATACCAGTAATATAGACAACCTTGGTGCTGAAAGGACAAAGAAGCGGAATAATGTGACACTGTTTACAGCAGTTGTTATAATCATTTGTGACTTACCCTAACAGTTTCCTTAACTTTGTTACTGCTATTGAATAAATGGAGCAGGATAGAGCATACACAGACATGCCCCAGCAGCCAAAACGAACGCCAGCTTCATATAACTGAGCTGCATCTGTGCCGGGCAAAGCCTAAATATGAAGGAAACTCTTAAAATATGTACGACAGATCAATTGAGATAGGAACTCACAGTTGGATCACCCTTGAATACAGCTTCACCCACAAAGTCCGTGAAATACAAACAATATGTCACATGACCCATCCAGCAAAGCAGATTCGTTAAAGCGAGTATGCGCATTGAAGTCGGCATGATAAAAATACTCTTCAGGTACTTCGCCAAAGTTATGGGCGTATCCACACATTCATCTAATTCAATAGCCATAGAGTTATTGTTATTTGATTGAGATGGCTCTTTTGATTTATCTGTAATTTCCTTAGATGGTGAAATACCGTTCTGATAGCTCCCCATTGGAGTCATTGTGTTGTAATTCTTTTGGGCTGTAGCATTTTGTAACTCCAGCACATCAGTCTAAATCGGAAAAGCTCATAATTAATGCAAAGGCCTAAACAACAACTTAGTCCAGTCATTTAAGCTTAAAGTAGGTAAGAATCTCGGAATTCGAGATACCCAGCAGTAAGTCTGTAAATACTTGTATATTGACACCCCAAAAGCTGTCTCAAAACCTACATATAGTAGGGTGTACGCAACTATTAAATTTCAAGGTCAAAGGTCACAAAAATCGGGTTTTTACGCTTTTTTTTGTAAATATCTCATTTCCTATGGGCTTTTTGCTATTTTTATTTATTATCAATATTGTAGAATAAAAACTTTTCTACAAATTTTGTTTGAAAAAATTTTTCATACAGTGAACCGTTTTCGAGATAGAGGGCGGAGAGCGCGCGGTCACAGCATCACTTCAGGTCAACCGCTGCCTCCGGTCAAAAACGCGCCATATATAGTCGATGAACTATCGATAAATCAATGATTATAAATATTTGTAAATTTTTATTAACTATTGTATTATATTTTATCATTTTTCCCTAACCTATCCACTTTTTATTCACTATTAATTTATTTAAGAACACTTACCTGCCGACGTAATTGCAGAATTGTTAAAGAAAATATAGGAATTATATTTGAATTTAATCCTAATTAATTTTAATAACTTCTTACATGATAAAAAAAACACAAATAAAATAAGAATTTATCTTTTTATTAAAAAATATCATTGAATACATTTATTTTTATTAAAGGTAAAAAAATTGAATAAAGTTTACAAAAACTACAATTAATAATTTTAATCATCTTCTCCTCTTCATCGTCCATCCGTCCATCTTCCGGCTGCTGGTAAATTTCAAACTGGTCTTCTTTATCGTCTCAAGTTCATCCATGATTTCGGGGTCAAAAGTTCCATCTTCGTTAATGTCGCTCTGATATGGTAGAGCATTGAGACAAGATTGCCCATTACATAGGCCAAAAGCTAAAGAGCATTGCAAGCCCGCTTTCCTGCATCCGCATAGCGAACCACAACCACTCTTGCAGTTGCAGAAAATTGTATTTAGCAAATGTTCTGGAGCAGGTGGTAAAATTATCATGATAGGCTCCAGAAAATGGTTTCGCATTGCCGAACCCCATACCTTTTCTCTTTTACCTTTCTCTGCAGCCTCATCAGCAACTTCGCCACAAAATAAACATTGTTTCTTAAAATCAAGCACTTCACCTCGTTTTTTACGGAGTACTAATGGAGAAGTTATAGTTTCTCCTACTTCTTGTTTCCGTTTTGCTGCTTGGATACAACTTGTACTAATGTAAACACTTTGGCACTTTTCATGCACTTTAACAGAGGTTTGGATTTTGAATAATCAGTTTTTCTGTCCTTTCGTTCGACACTTGCAGTTCATAGAGATTTCATACCGCGCACTACTTCAATAAGCGATTTACCTCCCGAATCTGACTTATTACATAGAAAACACAAATCAGCCATCATACGATTCAAACTAAAACAAAGAGAAGACAGTCGTAACTATACATCTTGAACATCTGTCTCTACTGGCTATAAATAGAAAGGTCCGTGATGTATATTAGGGGCCCGTATAATTCCCAGGTATAATTTTTGACGTAGTGGAAGGATTTTAAAATTTACAGATTTTAAAGAAGATGCACTTATTTGCTATTTACAATGTCATTAGTGTTAATGGGAATATAATTATATTATGATTTCAGTTTTCCCTTAATTATTTTTTAATTTTAGGAAACGGTTATCAGTATTATTGAACAGATACAGGTTTAAGGCATGAAGAAAATTATAAAATATAATATAATAGTTAATAAAAATTGACAAATAGTTATAATCATTGATTTATCGATAGTTCATCAAGTGTATATGCCGCGTTTTTGACCGAAGGCACTGGTTGACCTGAAGTGATGCTGCGACCGCGCGCTCTCCGCCCTCTATCTCGAAAATGGTTCACCGTATGAAAAATTTTTTTTCAAACAAAATTTGTAGAAAATTTTGTATTCTACAATATTGATAATAAATACAAATAGCAAAAAACCCATAGGAAATGAGATATTTACAAAAACAGGGTAAAAGCCCGACTATATGTAGGTTTTGAGACAAATTTTAGGGTGTCAGTATACAAGTATTTACAGACTTACAGCTGGTTATCTCGAATTCCGAGGTGAACTTACTATAATGACTGGACTAACTGCTTGAATACTACGTACGTCAACCTCATACCTCTTTGATGTAGTAGATGGCATTGTTCTTTTTACTGATTTCCTTCTTGATAGCTGACGCTGAAAGAGGTTTCAACATTTCGTCACGCTCAATCAGGTTTAGCGGAATTTCGCGGAACGTCGTAATGGTGACAAAGTAGCAAATGATGAATATAACGGTAACCATTCCGAAAACTGTAGGAATATTACCGCCAAGTGCTGCACCTACAACCATTAATACGAGCGTATATATCATACTAACATACAATTCGTACAAGAAAATTTAATTGTACAAACCAAATTTTGTTTTTTCCCAGTTGATACCTCCAATAGCGTAGCCAATTGTGCCACCGAATCCTGCCAGCAGTGAAAAGGTGGTGAGCCCACGTGCTTGATCCTCGGGTATACACACGTCCAGCATGTACGTACGAGCCGGTGTTTGACACGTGTCAGCGTCCAAATCCAACATCACCATACCCAAAATCGTCAATATAGCGGCAAATTTGAAATTGGACGGTAATGGACCCTCTGCACTGTCCACTTCATTTGATATCAAGGCAGCCGCTAATCCCTCATTCATAGCACTCAAATTGCTGGTTGTTGTTACATTATAGCCGATATCACCCAATAATATCCCAAGATCTTTTCCCCATGGTACCAATATCAAACCAAGTAATATACCCACCGACAGGAAAGTAATAATCGGTCGACGTCTTCCCCAATTAAGTGTACAACGATCACTTAGCGAACCTAATAGCGGTGAGATAAAGAAACCGATTATCGGCGAAACACCCCAAGCCATAGTCATGAGTTTGTGGTCAATGCCTATTTGTAACAATATCGGCGAAACGAAAGACGTTTCTGCAGCATAGGCGAACTCAATGGCCATCGCAATGACGGACAGTCGGAACATTTCGAAACGTGTCTTACGACGAAAGACATGGGAGTAGTCGTATTTCTGACTACGTGCATGATTCTCGCGTGTTTTCAGCATATACTTAATCATAGGATTCTTCGTCGACGACATACTGTGCTCGTTGGAGCCGGCAGCAACACCAACCATTTTTTGGAGTTTATTTGACCTATCTTTGGGTTGAGATTAAAATCCGACCTAGAAATAAAAATTTGCAAAGGTTTTTATTATAAATAAAAGAATTATTAAATCTAGACATTGATTAGCTTGCATATCTTTATTCAAATTGATTTTTATGAGTCAATATGTTCCATTATCTCTATTAATTGAAAGCCGGTTGTCTAGTTCATAACATTAGCTTGGCTCTCTTGTGGCTTAATTATCACCACGAACAAGAAAACTTTTTGGTAGAAATTAATTCCAGTCGAAGCGGGCAATTTAACAGTATAGGTATACATAAGTACATATGCGGAAAATTATTGTGTATGCTTTTTTTCAAAATTTAATCTATGTATAGTAATTCGCGCAAAAGTATGCGAATGCGCGAGTATCATATTCTAAGCGTACTATTTGAATTCAAGAGCACCAGAAATTGGTATATATTTATGAATTCACATTGCATACATTAATGCAGTATATTATATATAATTATAAGAGGATTGTCCGTATGTATGAAAAGTCCTTAAAAGAGATATACAAAGCCTAAAACTCTGACTGATTTGGGAGGAACAGGGTTGTCATATGTCGCAATTGCTAAAATTTACAATTCTATACTTTATAGTATTATTAATTGAAGTAGTGATATTAAAAAATTCTTTTGAAAAAAGTAACACCCTAATTTATAGATATTTAGTTCACTTTACACTGGTTTACAGTCATTTAGCAACAGTGATATGTTAGAGGCTGTGTCTTGTAAAAATTTCCAAACACGTAGGATTTTTTGTGTGTGTCGACAAGTGGTCCCAAACCACTATTTACTAAAATGAATAAAATAGCTATACGTGATGAAAAAATTTTGAACTCAAATTCGTAATCAGAGCACCTCAAATACCCCAGGGATCTCTTAGCACATCACTCGGAAATTTCTCCTTGAGATTTGTTGAGTAGTGTTACACTTTTGAAGTAAAAGCTGTATGAGATAACAGAACACCGAAAAATTAAGCCAATTCGATAATCTAAAAAAAAAAACCAAGCGCAAGGACACAACAAAATAGTACTTCATAACTCAAAAATTTTTAAAATCAATTTTTTAAATCTATCACTTTAGAATATATATAGAAATTTCACTGACGTCACTATCTTACTTTACCAGAAAACTACTACTTTTGTGTTAAATGCCTCATCTGGATCCTGAGCATTTACCATTTTTCGAGTAGTGAGGTTTTGGATTTGGTATGTTCATGAGGTGTGGCTCTTTTGTAGTGAGTGTACGATATATACATATAAACCTATGTGCATATAAGCATTCCAATTTAACACGGGGGATGATTGGGTTAGCTGGATGAAGTCAATAGAAATGGCGATTTGAGAAATAAGTCTCAAAATTATTCCCCACCAGACCTACCTAACCTAATATTTTGAAACCTGTCATTTGTGCTTATTCCCAGACTCTTTTATTGGCTCAATAAATTTCAACACTTACAAAGGGTGGCGCACGAATCGTGCTACAAAGACAAACCGTAAGAACTTTTCTAGTTTTTTTATCTGCATATACATACATATAAAACAAAGACGGGTTGGTTCGAACACTTATAACTCGATATCTGCTGAACCAATTTTCATGGTTATTGATTCGTTGGATTTGTCTCCGCCCCTAATAGCAGAATACATATTAAAAACAATGAAAAATCGATATGTGTAATGAATCATTTCAATAAATGCTGATATGTTTATTACAACAAACATTTGTTGTCCAATCTTGTCAAATGCTGTAACAAATATTTATGTGTGAGTTAAGAAATTTATTTTTTGTCTATGTCTCGAAAGTACATGCATTGTTATTATATTTGGTGGTTTTATGTGATTTTGTGCGAGTGCATTAATAACAATGCCGAGTCCTAAAAGATCTAATCTTTCCCAGTGGAGGCGTAATTCATTTAGGCAACGGAATATCTGATGAAGAACGAGAAATTGCACGAGAAGAGCGCCGCGTTACTATGGAGCAAAGAAGGGCCTTAATTCGTGCTTCCCAAACACAAGAGCAAAGAGATGCAGCCGGTGAAACGGCTAGGTGGGAAACGAGAAATCGTCGAGCTTATTGTACAGATGAACAGAGAATAACCTTCGAAGTGCAAGAAGAAATGGTTCAAGTATTGATTTGAATCGAGCAGCGTTTCTATATGATTGCACCATCGACTACAGCTTGAGTCATTTAGTTTGCATTGGTCAAATGGACGTTGTTTGTGGCGCATTGAAGTTTGCTGGTGAAACGCCTGGTTTGTGCTGCTTTAGTGGTAAAATGAATTTGCCATTATTAGTCCCGCCACCAGAGCCTTGCTGCTTTATGGCGAAACACAAGAATCACGACATTTTCTAACGAACACTCAAAAATACAATGTCTGTTTCCAAATGACTTCATTTGGGGCGGAAATTATCGAAGAATACGGATATAATCCGACATTTGTTTGTAAGTAAGTTTTATAACTATGGCTTTGACTTCGCAGATTCAAGGCCAGATTTACCATCGCATTGGATCATTACAACCAATTGATGAACAGCATAAATTCCTGCAAATATATATCATTGGCAATATGGAAGAACAACTCGACCGGCGCCAAGGGATCAACACAGCTACGAAAAGAGCAATTCTCCAAGATCTGCAGCAAATGCGTCATGAACATCATGCATTGGTCAGGCTGTTCAAGACTGCATTAGAGCGCATGGCAAGTGATGACTTTAAGGTTGTAATCAGAGCAGATAAAAGACCAGCTGGATCACATGAACGCACATTCAATGCTCCAACAATAGTTGAAGTGGCAATCCCGATTGTTGGTGAAAACTTGAAAACACGTGATATTGTACTTACACGACGCAAAACTGGGCAACTACAAAGAGTATATGAAACACACCGTTCATATGACGCGTTACAATACCCGCTGATGTTTTAATATCAAAATGATTAATCCATTGAATGGTAAGATCAATATTATTGTTTTCATTTTACCTTGATTACATTTTATTTTGTTTGCTTTTGGTAACCAAAAAAGTTGTCATTTCTAATTTAGTAGAGAGTAGCTGTAAGAATCGTTAACCTATTAGGGTTCTAAAATACAAATTTTACTGTATTTGTTTCAGGTGAGGAAACTACCAAGAAGGTTAGTTCGATGAATTATTATGCATATCGTTTGATGATTCGTGAAAATTGTGACAATTATTTGTTTCGATTTCGTCGACTGCTTCAACAATATTGCGTTCACATGTACGTTAAAATCGAAACGGAGCGCCTGAATTTCATTCGGTTGAATCAAGCTAAATTTCATTGGGAGGAGTATATTCATTTACGCGATGCTATGTGCACAGAAGAAGATTCAGAAAATGTTGGTCGTTTGACCATTTTACCGGCGACATACACATGCAATGACTTATGTTCGTCATTATGGTCGGCTAGATCTATGTATTCATTACATTTACATGTAATCCAAAATGGACGAAAATTGTTAAATTGCTGCTTCCCGGACAAACATCAAGTGATCGACACGACATCACCGCACGTGTTTTCAGGAAAAAAATCGGTTATTAATGAATTAAATAGTTAAGCAACACAACTTTGGGATTACTCGATGCTGGATGTATTCAGTCGAATGGCAAAAACGAGGCCCACCGCATGCTCACATTCTAATTTGGTTAGTTGAAAAAATTCGGCCAGATCAAATAGATAGACATCATATGTCCGGAGATTCCTGCTCCTAAAACCCATCCAGACCTACATTATGTTGTAATCACGAATATGATTCATGGACTGTGTGGCACTATCAACCGCCAATCACCGTGCATGGTCGACAGACGACGGTCGACGGCAGAGACCATTACAGGCAACGATGATTATCCATTGATTGGCGTCGATCGCCCAATGATAATGGTAGAACTATCACAACTAAAGTGAAAGGAAACGATTTCGTAGTTGACAACAGTTGGATTGTTCCATATTCGCCACTTCTTTCCAAAACATTCAAGGCAAATTGTAATGTTGAGTATTGCAATTCGGTCAAGTCAATTAAATACATTTGCAAATATGTCATGAAAGGGAGAGACATGGCGGTTTTTGGTATCCAAACATCCAATATCAACGATGAAATCACGCGCTATCAAGTTGGTAGATATGTGAACTGCAATGAAGCAATTTGGCGTATATTTTCATTCCCTATTCACGAACGTCATCCCACTGTTGTACATTTGGGGATGCATCTAGAGAACGATCAGAGAGTATATTTCACAGCGTCGAATGGTGCTCAACGTGCCGAAACACCTCCAGCGACAGCACTGGCCACCTTCTTTGCGATTTGTCAAAGCGATCCACTCGCACGAACGTTGTTTTATTCAGAAATGCCACCTTATTACACTTGGAACGGTACATCGAAAAAATTTCAAAGTCGTAAGGTGATGCAATTCCTAGTCATTCAGACATGCGTTCTACTGATGCTCTTGGTCGTATTTACACAAACATCATATGAATCACTACGAACTGTTAATGGTATAGTGAGCCCCACATTTCTTGCAGCATGTCAAGAGCTGAATTTGCTTGAAAATGATACTCATTGGGACACGACAATCGCTGAAGCAATTATTTCTGCATCTCCAAGTCAGATACGCACATTATTTGCTATCATCATTTTGACATACTTCCCATCGAACCCACGTGATCTGTGGAACAAATACAAGGATAACATGTCAGAAGATATTTTACATCGAATTCGTGTCAGCTCAAGAAATTCCGATCTTGAGGTGAATGAGGAAATGCTTAACCAGACTTTGCTCTTGATCGAAGATATGTGTTGCCTCATTTGCGGCAGTTTGTTAGTTAGGTCAGGAATGCCAGCGCCAGAACGCAGAATGAATGGCGCATTTAATAAAGAATTCGAACGTGAACGTGAATATGATCCACATGAACTAATCCAATCAGGTCAATCGAGTGTACCGCAGTTGATCCTAAGCAGAAGGAAGTCTATGATACACTGCTTAATGCAATTGATGATGCAACG